TATTCAAAAGACATGTTTTTACCCAGTGTGAAAACACTGTTGGAGCTATGGAGAAGTTTATTCTCTGAGAGAGGACGTTAAATAAAACTGGATGGAGCCCAAACCAGAGCTTAAAGGAGTGACTACTGTATTTATATTATCAGGTGGACACACACCTGACACCAATAGGATGATCATGTTTTTCTGCGTGTGCTGAATGTAGAAGTAGGCAGCCATATGCTAATATTTTAGCCACAACTAGACTATTGGCTGATATGTCAGATGTTGTGTTTACTGACAATTCTGCTGCCTCCAAGTGGGAAAAAAAAATCCCTTTATGCAAATTTAAGGATAAAGCATTCTTCAATAATGTCCTGGTGTGTGTGTCATCCATTTTTTATCCTTTGAGATTTTGGATTAAAGCATCCTGCTTGCATGCTGAGCAGCTACTGTATATGAGCCTCTAGATTCAGCAACCAAAAAGCTCTCAGAAAGACTCTCAGCTGTAGAGAGAGAGAGCAAACACACAAAGCCTGGCAAAAAATAAACAAAATAAATAAAACTTTGAAATGATAGTTATTTCACACGTTAGTATAAAAGACAACTGTATCTGTTATTTCATCTACTTTCACACTAACAAATTTGATCTAAAAGTGACAGATATTCCTGTGTATCAACAGTCTGATGGTCTTACTGCAGCTGCACCAACACTAATGTTAACCAGCAGGAGTTCCATCAATTCATCACTGATACTGACTGATCGGCCTGCCATGTCGCCTCCTGGAGCTCTAAACAGCAGCTTCCAGCAGTCAGATAACAACCGTCATCGTCTCAGCAGCAGCAGAAATAGCAGCGCCATTATCCTGCTGTGTGTTATCAGGATGAGGAGGCTGGATATCATCTCCTAATCTCCCTCAGCCGATGTCGCTCGCACCGCTGCCGCTGCAGCAGCAGCAGCAGGCAGAGCAAAATGGATTATTCACAGTCACTGCCAAAACATTCCTCTTCCTCCTCTTCCCCCCTCCTGGCCAACAGTTTGGTGAAAAATTAAACCTTGGCAGGAGAGAAAGAAGGAGTGGAGCTCTCTGATCACAAACAATCATTCTGACTTGTAATTAAAGTAAAGAGAGACAAACTCTGTTTCAAGAAGGCGAAGGAGCTGAAATGATCTACAGGGCTGTAAAACAATCACTTACATGCACACACACACAATTCACTGTATAAAGGTGAATTTAGTATAACTGCTATGTCCTCTGCTGTACAAAAAGGAAAAATAGATCAGATGTTGGGAATCACAAAGATAAAAAATACCCATGCAAAGTCAAAATTATGGATTATTTAAACAAATCATATTATAATATAATATTAATATCAGGAAGTAATCGAAATGAAAAGATTCAGGTCTAAATTTACTAAACTAAGATTTTTACTTCTTCAGGATTATGAGCTATTAATTCATTCATATATCATTACATCATATAATAATTTAATTAAGAATTTGTACTGTGAAGATTTGCACATTCCACCTTGCGTTTCAAACACTGTACAGCTAATGTTTTAAATACAGCAAAGACAATCATATAGGGGGCGTGGCCATGTGGCTATAGAGTGTGTGACATTGAAGTCACACATACAATTATAATATATAACCATAATACTAGTATTTAAATGATTTCAAACTCTCCATCTTGTATTTTTCCCTGGCAAAAGTGGCCTTTCATAGATGCCAAGTCTGAAATTAATGAAAGAATCATCGGCCTGTGAAATGTTTTGTCAACCTGCAGGTTCAGTTCAGCTTCATAAATGCAGAAAAGAGGAAAAACGAGAACAAAGACGAAGCACACACACTGCACAGCTGAGGTGAAAAATCCTCCTGAGTGGTTTATAAAAATGTCAAAGAGGAGGAGACGCAGGAGGTGAAGATAACCAACAATGACACAGATGGCGGCAGGTTTCTGACCTTTGAACGCCTCAGAGAACTTTAGAGTGAAGATGTGTAACTGAAGGACGATGTCCCCTGATACTCCAAAAAAATGGGAAAAACTGTAGGTTTTTAAAAGACAGCGAGCCTGAGAAGAGCCAGGGTGGTTTCTGTCACTGGACGAGCCAGTGACGGTTTAACACCAGCTGGAACCAACAAATTACAACTCGAAAATGCATTTTACCTGCCCTTCAAAACATTTCCTATCAAGAGCAAAACAAGAGGACCTTCAGGGAAACTGCTATGAACTCTGTGGTTAAAGATAATATGTTTGCTAATATGAAAAATTACGGTAACCCTTTAATATACAGGCTGTTAATTACGTAGGAATTACATAATAATGTAAAGAAATAGACAAGAAATAACAGTAAGTATAATAAGTAAACTCAATATAATGACCAGCTTTAGTGGTAGAATTATCGGTAATTACAGTAGAACGTATTGGGTAACTACACAGTAAAATTAAAGCAGAATAAAGAAGTTTGGTTAGTAATTACAGGGATGCAGACTTAGTGGAAACAAGGGAGGAGGTATTTGCGTGTACATACGTGATCTAGATAGACTCTACTTTTGAGTCTAGTGTTTGAAATGAATTTTTTTAAGGTACAGAATTGCCTCTATGTTGGGAAATGAGTGTGTACAAACAACTGATATAGTACATTAAACATTTAAAAAAATCAAGTGAATTTCTCTTTCATTCCTGCTTTTATGCTCTATCAAAAACACACTTAACCATGACAGCACTGTAGTAGGGACCTCCATACCCAAATCTACACATGCACTTATAATTATGAGACTGTTTTCTTATTAGGAGATCTCTTCTCATAATTCATAGACCGTGAGTCATAATAGAAACGGAAGTCAATATTATGAGCTCTCCAATTTACTATTTTATTTTTTGGTGCATGTAATGTGCAAGTATACTGTTTTTGTAATTGGCATAAATTTTGTCAATGAAGTCATATTTCTGCTCTTCTACATCAGTGCAGTGTTAATTTAGCAGCTTTAGTTAAAAGATTTTAATCACATTAAAATACTGCTCAGGGTTAGCTTGATACTGTATGAGCAGCTAAAACAAATATTAACGCAGTAATATTCCTTCAGCAAGGGGAACATTTCGATTGTAGACAGGAAACCTGCACTTATTCATTCCAATAGCAACACAACACATAGCCGACTGAGTAACATTAATGTTGAATGCATATCCACAGCCCTTGATAATCCGTTACCTTACCTTTTTTTCTGCCAGCATGTTTTCGTAGTTGCCAGCTGTTTCCTTGTTGCTTCTTGTCTCATTTTTCAGGGACTGTTGATAAATTTAGTGTCAACTTTTGTCCTTCCAAGGACAGTTACGTTAGCTAAAATTACTAGCAGGTACATAATGTTACCACATGCGAATAGCTGCTTCTCAGTGCAGCAGAAAATCAGCTTCTGAAGAAGAGGTGTTTCTGGGTGACGGGATAATGTTTTACTAATCAGGAGGATACAATGTGTGGACCTACATATCCATGCAGATTGTTAAATAAGACTTTACAAACAGTAATGCATTAAATAATCCGTTCATCTATCTTTTTCATTATCGTTTAGTCTTTGATAGCATTCGTTTCGTGTCTCACTATGGGGAACACCTCCTGCGTGACCTCGGCAGAAGCTCAAATAACATTACGTCTGCCGTAATCGGCTGGCACTAGTGACGTCTATGTCAGGAGGGGATGGGACCCTTCTCCTATATAATAGGCTGACATAGTGTCATTCGTCATTCAAAAACCTCTTCTCGCTTCTCACAGAAGCCTGTCGACAGCTGTGCTTTTGGGTGCTAAGCTGAACTGTCCACAGACACAGGTGCACATTTCGGTAGGGATGTGCGTATCGATCCGCGAATATCGATACTTCCGATCTGGGGGTGTGTTTTTTAGA